TTTTTTTTTTTTCCTTCTTTTGGTGTGTAATTAGAGCAAGCCTCGTGGGAAGTTTTGTAATTATCTCGTTAACTTATCGTTCAATTTTAATCTATATAATAGTTTCAGCCAATTTTCAACAATACAATCACATGATACAAAATATGTGAGATCTTTACCTGCAGAATTGGTTCCTTGGCTAAAATCACACTTCCAGCCTGATCTTCTGGTTGAGGTTTCACCGGATGACTTTTGACCTGAGCATGATCATCACATATAACATACAGAACTCACTAAATAAAATAAAATAAAATAACTACAGGTTAGTTTTACGTTGGAAAGAGTTACAAAGTGTACAGAGTGAAACTTTTACATATTCATTTCTGCGGTGTATAGCACCCAAAAATAAATAAATAAATAATATAAAAAGGTTCATGCGATTTCAGTCCATCGATGCCATTTCGTGATTTATGTACTTCTAAGAAATCCGAAAGCATATATTATTTATTAGAAAAAAAAAAAAAAAAACATCTTTGTTACCCAGCAACGCATGATATCCCATATGACATTCATAGGCGCATCTGTTTTCATACCCAGCGGGTTTACATGGCTACCCGAAATACGATACCCGGCATTAATCACGGCTGAACGGAATATAACTGCAGATGGGGAAGTGCATTTCAATGTTGCACACAAGTTGTGCAAGCTCAAAAACAGTGGTACATCAGGTAACTCCTGCAGTTACAAAAAAAAATACTCACCTTTAAAATAAAAAAGAAAAAATGGAAAAAAAAAAAAAAGGCAAGCAACTAAATGAGGCATACCTCAGAAATTGTGGTTAGTACAGCAGAAATCCAATCAAAGGCCGGATATCGGCTTTTCATAGATTTTATATCTGTTAGAATGGAATTCACCCATTCATGATCGTGGATTGGTGCAGACCATATGGGCCCCCACCCATATTGTATTTCTTGCCACAGTCGGTGCATTCTTTGGTAACAACTGGACCGAACCCGGGAAGATATCTCACGGTCGTGCTATTGTTCTGGTTAATAATTAATCATCTATGTAAGAAAACAATACTAATATGAAAGTTAATGATCATCTATGTAAGAAAAAGAACGATAGCAAACACATCATGATTCAAGGTTTGAGAATTAACATGTAGGAAATATTTTTTTTTTTTTTTTAAAAAAAAAGCTGATTATTCATCCTATACTGAAATGGTCCTTTTTATCCTTACCTTAGAAACGGTCTTCCCAATAGGCTGAAGATGAAAAGAATCACAGCCTGTGCATTGATAAACATATGATAATTTCAAGGGAGTGTTCTTCATTGCACCAGCAGAACTGCAGGAAATTACCCATTAAATCAGGCATGTGAATCAAAGTTATCAAACCAAAAAATAAAAATAAAAAAAATGATGAATTAAGGCCAACCATATCATTCTAATCATTACTAAATCTAGTACATAGAAAAAATAAATTAAGAAAACAAGGAAGAGAAACACTTACGTATAGATACGCACAAAAACTCGTACATAGAAATCAATTTGAACAGATAGCACGGGAACAATGTACCGCTTATACCGATTTGCGTGGCTCTGCATTTTAACGTGGATATATATAACATCAGGAGAGGATTATGAGGCACTTCTCCGTAAATTAAGAAAATCTTCAGTTATAAAGCTAAAATTTTACAAAACCAACTTACTTCAATACATGCAAGAAGGATCCTCAATGCCATCTCATGGCAATATTTTCCTCTCAAAGGGTAAGACCCGTATCTAGTTCGACAATAAAGCATCATGTCAAACCACCGTTCTCTTAATTGAAATGAATATACTATCTGATAAAAATCTTACTTGGAATAGCAGACCTCACCGTTGCCCCCACAGAGCACGGCCATATCAGTTGCTGTACACATCAAGATGCCTCCATCTACAACTGACTGAACAGCAGAGTCCAGGAAAACAGATGGTGAACCGTAAGGATCGAGATCAACCTGTATTTACAATTCACCGCATAAAATTGTAAGTACAGACAGAGAATAAATATTTCGGGTAAGCACATTAATATTGAAGAGCCACAATTTGATACATAGAAATGAAAGAAACTCAACAATTGTTACAGCCACAAATTTTTACCGTTTCGTGATTGTGAAATTGTGAGATATTCTTTTTGGTGCCCAATAAGACCGATAACAACAAAACTATGAACTTGGCATAATAATGTCATGCATACCACATCAAATTCTTTCGGGTGGGTAAGCATGTAAATTCTAGCATCAGCAAGTTGCGACTCAACCTTCGAGCATGCCACCGAGCCATTAAATTTAATGTTCCTCCTGCAAGCTTCGACAGACGCTGCAAACGGGCATAAAGAATATCGAACCATATGGGACTATTAACAACAAAACAACCCTCAAGATAAGGTAATGATTGGAAACAACTTCATAAGGAGGAAAATCATGAAACTACATTTATCATTGTCCACGGCCACCACTTGGCCAATTCCATCTACTTCACGGGCATATCTTAAGGATCTGAGTCCAGAAGCAGACAATGCCTGTAAAACCACAACCCAAGCAATACAACATTTTCTTTTTCTTTCTGCTAGATAAAATGACAAACATAACATGAAACAATTTAAAATCTCAACCTCCAAAACTCGGGGAGGCTTTAGTGTTAGTTCTCTTGGGCTTTTTCCATATTGATTTGAAGGTTTATCTACAGAGGTGCAGGTGGGTTCGTCTTGCGGCACCTCTTGAGAAACTTCGCATTCCCCATTCGATTTGTCCTTGCAAATAATTGAGGTATCCGTTACAGTTTCGTGCTCGACGGCAGGCTCCCCTGCAACTTCAGGCCCAGTTTTCCTTTTCTTGGACAACAATGCTTCATGTTCTTCTTTGCGCTTTGCTATAAAGGTTCTCAAAACAGCAATAGACATGTCTCTGTTATTAACCTAGCACGGCATTTCAAAACCTCAGATTCCTCAACTGAAAACTACTAATTCTTAAGTTAGCAACACAATAGATGAGAAAAATAAATCAAGGCACGATCTTTAAGCAAGCACCTGGGTTTTGTTATAGAAGACTTCGTTTTTCACGTGCATTAAAATTTCTGCCTCCCCTTCTTTGATTATGGTGAAATCATTGAGATCGAAAGGCGCCACTTCAAGGGCGCTCGCGTGGTGCTGCTCTTCCTCCCTGACTTTTCCATCGGAGCCGGCCATATCTTCTGCAGAAAGGCAGCTAAGTTGGGCTCCTGCCCGGCGGCGGGCGGCGGCGAAAAAACGGGGATTTGAGGAGAGAGTTCAATTTGCTGCGAGGTTCAAAGAAAATGGGAAAGAAACAAAAAAAGGAATCAAAAGGGGCAAAATTTAAAAAAAAA